ACGTATATTTACGGAAAATTTAATTTTAGCATAGTGAAGGTGGATAGAATATGTAACCGCCACAATTTTTAACAGCATAGAGGGTTCCAATTAGGTGGGGATAATGTAAAAAAAATTAAGGTTGGAGACCGTTCCGTCTGTTAGTATAAGCGAAGTGATAATTTTTCCTTTCGATGCCATTTATGTATGGCCGCTGATTGGTATAAATACCAAGAGGCATTTTCTTGGTTCTATTATATCCTTATCCGTTCTCCTTTACACAAAGATGGGTTGCCCAAGTAGTTAACAAGAACCATGTTCAAAGAGAAAGATGAATACGTGTAAATGTGTTCCTATAGGGATGCTCCCAATAACCAGATCTCATGTCTCAGGAGTGGAAAACAACGAACAAACCATTACAGATTCTCTAGGGGGGACGTGAACATTGCTGTTAACATGGCATAATCCAGTCACCAGACAGGGGTAACAAAAAAAATGTATCTTAGACAGTTGGACAATACGACCGCGTTCAAATTACCACCGGAATTACCTGGCCTAATTGGGAAAGGATACATAAATCCGCCGTTGAGACATTAAATATTATGCTCTTCACATAAAATATTGCAAACACTACTCGGTGCCTTATGAGGGAGTATATTGATTTGGTTGCTGCATATGGATGGAATCAATTTTAAGATTAAGACAATGCCGACTTGTATATATTACATTTATTCTTATAAAGGGGGGATGTTCAAAAGTACACAACACATATCTGCGTGGAGGCATTCATATGACATGTGCTTCTGCATGCTGTACATAAATAATGGGTATTAATAGTAATTGTTCTGTGAACATCACTTTAATAATAAATCGTTTCCGCGTTATAGACATTTTTTCTGTATCTTCTTATAGGAATGAGATGACTTTTAATTACTCATAACAATATGAAAGAGGCAAGTTTTAATATGGAATGCATTGTTTATACGTGTATCTAATTTGAAAACAGTAACACATATTTATATATACAGAAAAGATGAACACTTGATATAATCCATTATGAATAGGACTACACACAACAGAATAGAAAGAAGAAGAGAATACGGGAAAATATGAACACCTGAGTTCCATGGAAGCTGCAGGGTTAGTGTAAATTTACATATTTGAAATATGTTTCCTCTCCGTATTCATGATAAACATGGTTTCTGTCGCTTGCTCCTTATCTATCGTAACATTTTATGCATGCAAGAGCGGGAAAACACATAGATGTAATGCGGCAATTGGGGTGGGCCACATTCAGGGAATAATTTTCTGGCATATTTCCTCCGCACACGCCTTTTGCTCAAAAGGTTCATGTGTGTTTTATTGTACAAAAAAGGAGGATTTTTTTTTAACTAAAATTTTATGTTTATTGAGAAGCATTACTTTTTTCGCGATCACCTTCGTGTGTACCGCAACCCTTATGAGAAACCTTAAAGATTACTGGGAGTGAAGGGGCATATTCATATGACTGCAAATTTTGGTAATTATGCCTTCACCCTTACAAGGGTAAATATACGTATATATACGTAATTATACATATATATCTATGTCTGTGTGATAATATTATCTTGATAAGTGGCATAACTCTAATATATTGCTTCTAAACAGTTATCAAAACACAGGCGCCACACGTGGGGGTACGGAAATGGGTATTCCACATTGCAATAACCCACATATTAGAATATAATGTTGATTTGGTAGACATGGTGAATTTTACGGGAGAGTCTATTCCAGAATTGTCTGCGTCATTCATGTAGCTTCTTTTTTTTTTTTTTATTCTGATACATTTCACAGTACTGAACATTTCCTTCACTGATTTGTACTGATTGTTCCGTGAAGCTATAAGGGGGAACTAGAAGCCGAGGTAACAGGAAGTGTTTTTTCAGGATACAAAATTGTCTCTAATTGGACACAAGCTGTGAAAGATATTTCCTCTAAGTATTCAATTAATAATTAAATCAAGAAATTTATAATTATTTATTCTGATAACATAATCCTCATTCATGTCAATCGGATATTCTTCTAGAGGATATACCACTCTTGATATTGAGTTCTAAGATCAGATGAGGACCTTATGATGGTGTTGATGGAACTGTTAAATGTATCACTACATGAGTTTAATATTAAATAAAGAAGAGATCCATTTTGAATAAAGAGATTGGCTGAATAAGGGGAATTATACGGGTGAATAGTACGAATTAAGTATTCTTCCCCGTACAATAGCATGTGGGGAAGACAAGATATTGAAGTAATTATATTTAAGAATTACTTTTGTTCGGTTACGGGACCTGTTCACTACTAGGAATATTTCAACGGGGTTTCATTAATTTGGTCGAGAGGATTACCTATTATGGGCAAAATTTAGAAGGAGAAGGAACGGAAAAAACGGATTATTACACCTGTATATAAAGCAAGATAGCGTACAACAGAATCAGAATATGTTAATCAGAACTAGCCCGGAAATCGACATGCAATGACGAAAATCATGAGGCAGGAATTTATTGTGATTATCCCCCGATAAATATAATAACAGAGGGAGCGAAAATATTGAGGGAGTCCTGGGGGTGGTTATAATATATTACAAGGAATACAACAGAGAACTTAGGGGAAGATTCAAGTATAAAATCACGAGGAAGAACTGAAAATAACGAATATGTGTGAGTATAACCGAGTTCTCCATTCTGCATACCATGAAATATAATACACTAAGGAAGAAACATAAGGCATACTTCATTTCTAGAGGTTCCGCCAAATTACCTTGTGAGTCTGAACTGAGAACACATCATTTTCGAAAAGAATAACAGCACTTTTCTCTGAAGAAATACACATAATGTACATGCCTCTATAAATTGATACCCCTTATTGATAACAACCTATGTGTTGTTGACCTCTTTACACCTGCTCATGGAACATATACCCCTGGATATACATACGTATATGTATAAATCTTCCCCTTCTTATATGTGGGATTAATTCATGAGTCATAAAGCTAAGGAGTGTTAACCTGGTGAATTATGAGGCCCCTCTGGCGTCATACAGGAGAGGGCTACCCAAAAACACAACAAGAACGAAAAAGAATAGTACGGATGGTTAAACATTTTTAAGCACAGGGAAAACGTAGTTACCAGTATGTGCTGATTCAAATTAGAAGATTGTTCATTTGGCATAAAAATGTTTCCCTTTAAATTACACAATTTTTCATAAGGGGTTTCCTCTATGTATATATACAGGGAGTATCGGATTGTCGAATTTGAACTCGTATAAAATGAGTTCTAATTTCACATTGAACTTTAATTCTATGTTGCATGCGATTGGAAGGGACCCTATAGCGTCCAAATGTGTTCCTGCTTCTCTGTGGAAATTCCTATGACTTCAATACAATAGAGATATGCAAATCCAATGAGCAAAGCGTGGAATGTTGGGCCGCGGTGTCTATATGGCTTCTTTTATAGTTACGTTATTTTCTACGAAGGCGTTCTCATGCCCCATTGTTTCTGTGAGTGTTCTCCTTGATGTTTCGATATTTGCATTAGTATTCCCCGGCAGGTTGCATTCCTCCTGTGTATGCTTTTCCAGGTTCCTGCATTTTTATGAGAGTATTTTTTCATGGCGCCTTCCTTCTATATATGCGGGTTCATGTGCCCTAATTTGACGAACGTGTTTCCACCTGGGATAATTTGGCAAACGTTTTTTCACGTGTGGTAATTTCGCAAACGTTTTTTCACGTGTGGTAATTTCGCAAACGTCGTTTCATTTGCCTTAATTTAAGGAACGTCCTTTTATGTTGCCTAATTCTCCCAATGTCGTCTCATGTGGCCTATTTTCGCGAACGTCGTCTTACGTGGGGTAATTTCGCGAGCGTCGTTTCATGTGCCCTAATTTCTGCGGAGGCCTCTTCATGTGTCGAAATTTTGCAAATGTACGTTTCACGCTTGGTAATTTGGCAGACGTCATTTAATTTGGTCTAATTTTTCAGGACGCACGTCCATGTTGCCTGATTTTCCGAGAAGTAGCTTCATGTTGCTTCACTCTGCCAAAGTCCTCTCAGGTGGATCAATTTTCGGGGGGGGGGG